TCTCCCTTGCGTTTGTTCATCCCTGTGACTTTTCTCTTTCCGTTTTCTCCCTCAAAGCAAGAAGCAGATAGAAGTGTTAATAATTGATTGAGAGAAGCTGGAATGCTTAACAGCTCCGGGTAGAGTGTCTCTCACACCAGAAGCTCAGGAGGTGCAGAAGGAGGGGATCTGAGCGAGACCAGGCTGCTCTGACCCAGTCCCGGAGGGGCTGCGGCTGCTGTGGACGGGGGCGACCACCCGGCCGTGTCTATGCCCTGCTCAGGGTCCCCGGGCCCTCCACCAAATCCCTCTACCCAGGCGAATGGTGCAGGATCTTGTTGTTGCTATGTTATTAGGTGCTTTCTAGTAGCTTCTGACTCATAGCAACCCTGTGTACAACAGAATGAAACACTGCCCGGTCCTGTGCCATCCTCACAATCATTGCTATGTTTGAGCCCATCGTTGCCACCACTGTGTCAGTTCATCTTGTTGAGGGTCTTCCTCCCCTTTACTGACCCGCTACTTCATCAGGCATGATGTCCTTCTCTAGGGACTGATCGCTCCTGATAACATGTCCAAAATGTGTGAGACAGAGTCTCACCATCTGTGCTTCTAAGGAACATTCTGGCTTTACTTCTTCCAAGACAGACTTGTTTGTTCTTCTGGAAGTTCATGGTATATTCAGTAGTCTTCACCAACACCATAATTCAATGCATCCATTATTCTCCTGAATAAGTCTTCCTTATTCACTGTCCAGTTTTGCATGCATACGAACCAACTGAAAATACCATGGCTTGGGTCAGACCCACCTTAGTCCTCAAAGTGACATCTTTGCTTTCTCATTAAAACTTTAAAGAGGTCTTTTGCAGCAGATTTGTCCAATGCAATACATCATTTGATTTCTTGACTGCTGCAGGATCTTAGAAAGTCCTTTTCTTTTCAAATCTGATTTCGATTCCACTTGATATGCCCTACATGTTTACCCCAAATACGTGAGTGTGTGTGAAGAGTCTGGGCTAGTGGTGTAAATTCTCTGCCTTGTTATCATCTCTGCCAGATGTTTCCGGACTGTTCTACACCACTGTAATGTCGCTTGAAATTTTAAGAGTTGTTTGGGAATCAAAGATTTTCTGGTCAAATTTGGGAAATGCTATATACAGCCTCCTCTTCAAGATCCACTATACACTTAAATGTATTAAAATAACTCAAGTCTAGCTGAAAACTCTGTGTTTGAATTTGTTATTTCCAAACTTATCTGAGCACGGGACCGCCTTTTGGATCATCTTTTTTGTTGTTTTGCTTCTTTGTTTACATCCAACAGGACGCTGACCCACGATACACAATTTAGGAAATACTGATATGTGTGTCCTGCCTCCCCACCCCCCACCCATACCTAAAGGAAGGCACGATGACACTGGACATGTGGAATCCTGTGTCTGCCTCATAACAGCTGGGAAGCCTTGCAGGAGGCTCTGAGCCTCAGTTTCCTCATCTTCAAAATGAGGATGAAAGCGAACAAACCTCCGTGAGATTCGTTGAGAATTTATGTGCTGAGGTTTGCCATCGGCTGCTAATCGGTTTAAACCCACCTGGTGGCACCTTGGAAGAAAGGCCTGTTGATCTGCTCCATCAAGATTACAGCCAAGAAAACCTGATGGAGCACCGTTGTCCTCCGTAACACATGGAGTCGCCGAGAATCAGAATCGACTTAATGGCAGTGGGTTTGGGTTTGGCGTTGCACGTGACCGTGCCCAGCACAGCGCTTCCAACATCAGTTGTAGTTGTTGTTGTTAGGTGCCGGCGAGTCGGTTCCGACTCACAGCCACCCTGTGTATGACAGAACGAAACACTGCCCCGTCCTGCAGCATCTTCACAATCGTTGTTATGCTTGAGCCCATTGTTACAGCCTCTGTGTCAATCCGTCTCATTGAGGGCCTTCCTCTTTCTCGCTCTATAACATTGGAGACGCTCTATAATCTTGTACTGAGGTGGAATGCAAATCCAATCCTTGGTAGATAAAATTACCCCCTAAGCAGAACTGATGCAGATCTGTTTCAGATGCTTCAGTAGCCAGTTCAGGGCATTTCTGCAACTTTCCTCAGTAACCTGAGCTAGTTAGTGCCTCTCTTCTTAACCTTGGCAGGGGGAAGTCCTTTGGCACGTCTCACTTCATTCTCCGTTAGTTGGCATCGTTGTTAGGTGCTGTCGAGTTGGTTTCAACTCATAGTGACCCTATAGACAAGTGACCCTATGGCATTTGAGCTGTGTTGTCCCCAAAGCAGTGGCTCCTGGACCAGGAGCATCAGCATCAACATCAGCCATCACCTGGAAACTGGTTAGAAGTACACATTGTCAGGGCCCTCTCTGGTGTGTTAACAAGGTCTCCAGGTGATTCACATGCGCGCTAAGGTTTGAAACACACTGCTCTAAAGTATTATCTGTATTGACTTTAGGACCTCTGGGTGGTGTAAATGGTTAAGTGCTCAGTCACTAACCGGAAGACTTGCAGGTTTGAGTCCACCCAGAGGTGCCTCAGAAGAAAGGCCTGGCAATCTACTTCTGAAAAATCAGCCATTGAAAACCCTATGGAGCACAGTTTTACTGACACACGTGGGGTGAGAGCCGGAGTTGACGTGATGGCAACTGGTTTATACAGACTTTCGCCAGGAGCAATCACAGTTGATGTCAACATGGCGCTTCTCCTGGTGTTTTGAAACCGGCCCGTCTCCATTCCAGCCTTCCCCCAGAGGACTGCTGTCTCTTTCCTGAGTTCTTGGAATGTGGGGAGGTTTCTTGAAGTCAGGGTTATAAAATTCTTAGAGTTTGGCAACCTCCCATACTCTGAGCTGTCATCTAGATGAAGGATACATCACCTCCTCTGCCTCCTCCACACCTCCCTCCGGGTCTCTGGGCTGGTTCTCTGGTCCTGCCTGTCTGTCTCCAGTGCCACGTGCCTGTGACGGACCAGTGTTGAGCCAGGAGGGCCACAGCATTGCAGCGAGGGTTAACAACCTCTCCAGAGAAGCCATGTTGCAGAAATATGCCTCCTTGTTAGCGCCACGGGGCTGGAACTGCCCTCTGCACGGGACCTCAGCTCTGCACATTCCAGGGGCTGCTCCCTGGAGGAAGTGGGGCAATAGATAACGACTGCCAGGAGGGTTGTTTCTTTGGTATGCTGGTTCATTAAAAAAGTTGTCTGTAGTTCCCAGAGGCACCGAGGGCAGGGGCTGCTGCTACTCCTGGAATCCCTTTTGGGGCCAATATCAGCCTGTCCCGGCCAACCCTGAAGCCATGTGAGTCAACACCATTATATTCTGTGCCGAGCCCTGCCCCGTGGGTGTGTGGGGAAGGGTGAGGGTGGGTGGTGGCTGGATCCCTGACTGCGTGTTCAAGGGGTAAAGATCAGGCAGGAATGAAATACTTGGTCTCTCCCGCAAAGGCCTTGAAATCTACAGATAGTGAATCGAGTAAGAAGGGCCATCGTTCAGACGTCACCTTTCATAGTTGGTGGAATTTGCGGAGTTAATACGCAGAGCTACAGGCTGGGCTTCTAATATCGGCCTTGTTGCTGGTGCCGTGTAACCTTGGGCAAGGTTTTCTCTTCATCCACTCATTTACTCTTTCCCTCCACATGTGACTCACACTTATTATGTGCTTGGCACTCTGCTGCTTGCTGCAGATACAAGAAGAGTCCAGCACAACCCAGTTCTTAAGTCATCTGCAGTCTAAGGAGGGAGATGTTTGTAAGCAGACCGCCGTACAGAGGGCAAGGGCTTCCATGGAGGCATACACAAGTCCAGTGGGGAACCGGAGTACGGAGCCTTGGTGCTTTGGGGAGCTGGGAGTGTCCCACAGGTGAAGCTTTGAGTTGCTGCCTCCGCTTCTGCCTCCCTCCAGTGGCATTGGGAGAGCCTGTTGGAATCAGCACAGCCCTCGTTCTCTCTCTTGCATCGTAGACCCAGAGTGAAAAGGCACTGAGAAGCTGCTTTGTTTAACCAGCCTTCTGATGCTTATATAATCCCCTCCATAATACTCACCCACCCTGGCCCACACAACAACC